ATTCTCCAATTTCTTCATCACCAGCTTTAGTGGTTATTGCATGAATTTGAATAATAGCTGTATTAACTGGACTGCCTTATAGGAGTATAGTTATCCTATCACAGACACCATTGTAGTTCAGGGTAGATCTTCTTTTTAAAAAGTCATTTTGTTGAGGCCCGTTCAGCTCCTATCACAATCCATCCATCCATCGTGTCAAGCACATTTGTACATATGTTGCCATCTTCATTTTCAAAACATTTTCTTTCTACTTGAGCCTGTAGTATCAGCTCCTCTTTTCCCCCCTCCCTCTTCCCCCCTCCTTCCCTCATTAACCCTTGATATAGAAGAGGTGGAGAAAAAATGAAGGAGGTGCTGTAAGCCATCCAAACAGATGAGTTTGAAAAATGTTTCCAAGAATGGAATGGCAGATGTGACAACTGTATTAAGTGTAAGGAGGGTACTTTGAAGGTGTTAGGGTTGTTTTGTAAAAAATTTTAAATATATAGCTTTGGGGGGAAAATGAGAAGATCCAAAATAAATAATCATATTGATACGAACAAGGAGTGGAGACCCAAAGTCCATCTGTAGACAATTGGACATCACCTCACAGAAGGGTCACAAGGAAGGAATGAGTCAGGCAGGGCACAGTATAGCACTGATGAAACAAACACACAAGATTCCACTAGTTCTTTAATGCTTTTCCACCCCACCCCCACTATCATGACCCAGTTCTACCTAACAAATCTGGCAAGACTGGAGCATGTACATTGGTATAGATAAGCGCTCTTGACACATGGAATCCAGGATAGATTAAACCCCTCAGGAACAGTAATGGGAGTAGTGATACTATGAGGGTAGGGGAAAGGTGGGGGGAGAAGGGAGAGAAAAAGGAACTGATCACAATGACCAATGTCTAACCCTCCTCCCCCCACCCCCAGGAGGTAGTGGGTGAAGGGAGACAGCAGGTGACGTAAGATACGGACATAACATTTACTGATAATTTGTCAAGGGTTCATGAGGGGGGGAGGGAGAGAAAAAAGAGGAGTTGATACCAAGGGCTCAAGTAGAAAGAAAATGCTTTGAAAATGATGATGGCAACACACGCACAAATGTTAGTGATGTAGGAGGGATTGTTATAAGAGCAGTAAAAGCCCTCAATAAAATTATTTTTTTTAATTCCATCTTTTGGGGGGTCATTGGTCTTGAAAAGTTCTTTCATGCAATCTCGTATATTCCACGAAAGGCTCACTGATGTTTCTAGGATGTGCTGTTCCTTTGGAAACTAATCTCTGGCCTCTCATATTTGGGGTCTCCTAACTGCTGCTCATAACCCTCATGGAAAAATATCTATCATTCACTACATAAGACAGGGATGTGTTCCTGTCTCAGGTTTAGAGGGACTTTTATATCACGACTCAGAATTGGTCACTTTATATGAGCGAACGGTCATCCAGAGGAGATTCTTAGGACAACAAAGTGGTTGGTTAGGGCAATGATGTAAAAGGTTTGGGGTCTGAGGCATAAAAGTCTGGGGTTTGAAACGAGTGGGGTGGTATGGAGTAGAGTTGGGCAGCAGGGCCGACACGAGATATTCAACCCCCTGCTCTGGAACTTTTAGTTCCAATGACTCACAAGAATAACGGATACCAGGATGGGCGGGGGAAGGGTGTTCCAACGGGGACTGGGACCAAGCTAAGAAGGATGATATTTCGTTGTTTTGTTGTTTCTTTTTGGAGCGCCTGATTCGGGATCACAGAGCGGGCTAGACCTCTGAAGCGTCCTCTCCTTGGTGTACTCCTCTGTGAAGACAGCAGCAGCTCAGCGCAGGGGCACGGGAACTGTTGTCTGACAAAGGTCACGGAGTAAGACCACTTCCGAAGGAAGAAGGCACAACCAGAGTAGGAAGAGACATAACCCAAAAGCAGGTGTCGTGATGTAACACTAGGGATGGGCGCAGGTGGTACCGCTTTGAGCTTTGTCCAAACAACTGTGTCACTGACAGAGGTTTGGGTTCGAGGAAAAACTACTGAGAGACAGAGAGACAGAAGTCCTGGACCATCAGCCATCTCACTTGGGCCATGAGAACGACAGCTCAAGTTAAGTACTTTGTCTCTCTGCTGCCACTTCTCTTATGAAACCAAGTGATGGTGGGAAAGATCAGGAATGATTTCTCATTTAAGAATCACCAGATGGGGTATTTAAAAATGTGCCCCTCCTCTATCTGGATGCATGCTGTCATGCTGCTGACAGGGTCTCTTCTGCAAGGGATGCACTGTAAGCAGGAGTCTGTTTATCATGAAATAATAATCCCTAGGAACCTGATGATGTTCAGAGGACTGGAAGAAAGAGCAGAAAAGGTATCTTATGTCCTTCGGATAAGAGGAAAATGGCATGTTATTAACTTGAAGCAAAAGAGAGGATTGTTTGTCAAGAATTTCCCTGTCTATACACATCAAAACGGGAAACTAGGCTTGGACATGCCTTTTATCGAGGATGATTGCTTCTATGAGGGGTACTCAGAGGGAGACAGTGATTCTCTTGTGACTGTCAGCACTTGCTCAGGACTAAAGGGAATCCTGAACTTACATGGCACTGTCTTTGGCATCAAGCCCATGTACACCTCACACAAATTTGAACATATGGTTTATAGTATATCTCTACATTCAGGCATGTCCTGTTCAGTCCATGCAGATGAACAAGAAGAGCTCTTAACTAACAAACTTCAAAGCAGAACAGAACTATCCTCAGTCCCTATGTGGTCACAACCCAAGTATATAGAAATGTTTATCGTGGTTGACAACAAGCGGTTCCAAATGTGGAACAATAATGTGACCCAAACCACGCAGATGGTAATGGATGTCCATGCTCTGGTCAACAGGTACATGAGGGAGCTAAATGTGAAAGTAGTACTTACTGGATTGGAGATCTGGACAGAGGAAAACCTAGTGGAAATCTCCTTGAATCTGCAGGAAACACTTCAGAATTTTAACCAATGGAGAGATTGGCATCTTTTAAGGAGGGTGAAGCATGACGTTGCTCACATGATTACTGGCCAAAATATCGCAAAGTATCAAGGCCATGCATTTCTCAGTGGCATCTGCACTGATAAATATGCAACCAGTGTTGAATCTTTCTCTGATGAAGATATACCCTATTTGGCAGCTCTCATGGCTCATGAGCTTGGCCACAACCTGGGAATGAAGCATGACCATGCGACCTGCACGTGCAGGAGCCAGCAGCACCTCTGTACTATGCATGAGTTGATAACGATAGACACGGGCTTCAGCAACTGCAGCTTCCACTACTTCCACCAGCTGTTGCAGAGGCACCGAGGGGACTGTCTGTTTAATAAACCTCAGCCCCAGAGCTCTATGGGAAAGTCATATTGTGGGAATAAGATAGTAGATGAAGGAGAAGAATGTGATTGTGGGAGCGCCCTGGACTGTCAAAAGGATCACTGTTGTCTGCCTTCATGCCACCTAAAAAGGGGTTCTGATTGTGCATCTGGATCCTGCTGCAGAAACTGCAAATTTCTAAAGGCAACCACATCCTGTCGTCCCAGCGTGAATGAATGTGATCTCCCAGAGTACTGCAATGGCACCTCCCAGTGGTGCCACACAGACACCTACAAGCAAGACGGTACTCCTTGCAAAGAGCAAGGTTACTGCTACCTGGGCCAGTGCAGAAGCCTGGAAAATGAGTGTGTGAAAATCTTTGGACAGGGCACTAGAGTGGCCCAGGAAAATTGCTATCATCATATGAATACCCAGGGGGACAGGTTTGGGAACTGTGGCAGTGAGTCTAAAGGGGTATTTAAAGTCTTCCACAAGTGCAGGGGCAGAGATGTAAAATGTGGGAGACTGCTATGTGAAAACATCCAAAGGCTACCACCTATTGGAAAACATCACACACTTATCCAGTTTCCCCTGCAAGACACGTGGTGTTGGGGCACAGAGCTGTTTGAAGCCATAAATGGGGTTGATGAAGGGGAAGTGAAGGATGGCACCCCCTGCGGTCCACAGGAGGTCTGCATGAATCGAACCTGCTTAGACATCGCTGTACTCCGCTATGACTGCAACCTGGAAAGGTGTCATGGAAGGGGTGTGTGCAACAACTTTAAAAACTGCCACTGTGTCTATGGCTACGCTCCTCCAGCATGTGAACTGGAAGGTTATGGGGGCAGTATGAACAGTGGGCCAGCTCCACGAATTTCCTCTGGCTCTCAGTACGGCAACATGCTGAAAATCCTAATCTGGCTCTGGCCCATCTTTTTATTAGTCCTCGTGTCTACTATCTTTTTGCTTCTCTATTTGTATAGAAGATCTAAGATTGGTGTCAACGCAAAAAATTCATCAGAGCAGCAAGATGAACAAATGTGACGACATGTAAATATAACCTTCTTTCTGATAATAAACGAAATGAAACTCTACGAAATGCTAATCTATGAAATGACATTGAAGGACTCTTTTAAGGATTGGACTCTTTAGATCTGGTGCCCCACAGAGACTACAGAGATGAATGTGTTTTGGTCCTCATCTGTTTTTTATATATGTTGAATGCTTATTAGTTTTTAAATTTAAAAGAGGGATTCTTTCTTGTTCTTTGCTGTAGAGAAATCAAAACTTTGGGTCAATGTAAGGCCTCCAGACGTGATCTTGATATAGCAAGGGGCATGTTCATCTTCATGCTAGGTCTGAGGTCTCTGACCTAAAACCTAAATAGTTTTGCTTTTTAGCTCCCTAGCATCTATATAAAGTGTTACTATGGAAAGATCTCTGAAATGTCCTTCCTAAATCACTCCGTTTAGCCCTTCCCTCCGCCCCCATTATAAACTTGTCAATTTTCTCTAACTTTAGGGATTCTGCTTTGGTAAGACCAAGGGAAGGCATCAGATAAGAAGTATCTTCAGCTGTTCAGGTTATCACTCCAGTCACCTTGTCCATTTGGTTTTTCCTTCATTTGGGAATCATCATATGAGTTTGCCCTGGCTTCAGGTTAGTGTTGCTTATAAACTTAACTGGAAAGACAACGATCATTTATTAGGTGATTCCAGAAAAATACACTGATTAGAGATCTTCCCACTTTTGAATAAGGCTCCATAGTCTGGGAATCCTCTCTCCCCAAAGGGTCAAATTCCAACTATTAGTCAGTCATTCTAAAACCATATACATAGCACTTACTATTAGGCTGAATTATGTGAAACTGATATCAGACCTACAAAACTGGACCTTTTTTTTTTTTGGTTCAGCCTGGAAATTAACCTTATCCTGGGTCCAAGAAGCCAATTTTTGACTCTTGCGTATAAATTGGAGTTCAGAGCTATTGAATCCTATGGTTTCTGACATTTTCAAAAGGTAAGCCTGAATTTTCTAATGCTGATGATCCCTATTAGTAAAGTCTCAGGCCACCAAACATATGTGGAGACTTCAAAAAGTCTGTGAAAAAATGGAATTAAAAGATAATGGAATATTTCCATGAACTTTTTGAAGGCAATTTATATAAGCTCCTACATAATTCATCCAGAACAGCTACTAACCACAGCAAAGTATTCCCTTCTACTCCCATAGTTAGGGTATGATTATAAAAGACAAGATATCTTTTTCCAATATTCTCTCCAACCGATTTGTGTGGAATAATTCTAGGTCTTGAATGTTCAGGATCAAGGTTTTAAAGAATAGTGGATGTGCTGGTAACATAAGGAAGGGTAGAATCCAATGGTTCTAGCCCTCTGCTATAGAGTCTCTTCTGTGAGCTCAATAATGGTGTCTGGGTGTCTGCATCACGCCGAGCCTCTTGCTTTAGTTGGTAGAACTTGTGTTGTGTCCAGCCATAGACTCCACAGTTGAGCAGACCTTGGGATGCTGCTGTTAGAGCCTGGAGGAGATGAAGGGGTGATGGAGCCTATCCCTCAGGTTTTCAGTGACCTAAGGAACAGTCCTTATCCCCCTTGTTTGCAAAGCATCATCATACTTCCTCTATCCCAAACATCCAGATCAAGCGTCAGGTTTTTAAAAAACACACGTCTAGCTCTTCCTAAACTCACTTTTCACCTTGTTATGGGTAATTGAGAGTTGGGCATATTTATTAGTACACCCACTCTTCTCTTATGAACATGGTTGGGTTCCAAAGACCAGGTCATTACATGAATATAGAGGATGACCACATTGGGTCACCAAATGGAGCATGACTATATCATTACATAACTGCCAAATTACATTATTACATAACTGTCCAACCCCTGAGAACCCTGGACCAACCAAGCTAACATATAAACTTCACCATCACAGGTAGTACCATTTTCAGCTTGCACCTCGGCATTCATTACTGCCAGACATATGCTGTTCATGTGCAAAATAATTAGATAGTACATTTTTTACTACGTCCATAAACGTGAGATAACACGACAGTCAAAAAGTGAGGAGTGGGTGCACATAGATAAGGACCATAAAGTGGCCTAAAGGTCCCATCCTTGCCACCCAACAACCTAGGTTAAGTTTGAGATAATGGCCCTATCAGCATAGTCAGTCCAAAAAGCCATAACTCTGATAAAAGAGGAAAAGAGAATATCATTTCATTTCCCCCATTTTGTAGCTAGCATCTCATTTATTTCACTCTGGATGAGAAAGAATTTTGTCACTATTGGTATTTCATAAGAATAAGCAGTAGTAGGTCCTTGGGTGGTTGTTGTTGTTTTTGCTGCCCATTGCTTAAAAATACATGAATGACCAGATACATAAGCCCTGAAATCCACGCAGCACTTTGACAAAAATCACCTATCTATCTTCATTTCACATTTTACCAGAACAGTATAAATAACGCCTTTCCTCGTTTGCAATGCAGAAATAAATACCTTGAGAAAAAGAATTGTGCATGCTGAATAAAAAAAGACAAGAGAATAGCATAAAAAGGTAAAACAACAGATATGTTTGATGTTAAAGGTGTTACCTGGAGAACATAAAAAGCCATGTGAAGCTTGGTGTCCTGAGGTTTGATCACCTTTATAATCATTAGGATGACAGCTGTGAATACAGAAGCATAAATCTTGTCAGCCCTGGTTGCCCAAAACAGGTTGCCCTCGGTACACATGCCTAAGTACTACCATGGAATAACAGGGAAATGGAGAGAGGAGGGTTTTCCAAGTTTGTGGAAGCATTCTATTATCTTTTTTATTGATCAGCGAATGAAGGTTTATAGAGCATTCTGGTTTTCCATTCAACACTTCATACATATTTTGTTTCATGCCATTGGCTTAGGTCCCCACAATGTACTAATAATCACTTAGCCCACTGCTTGCACCGCCTGTGTCCATCCGCCTCCTTTTCTAGCCCCTCAGATTTTGTCTTTGGGTAAAGGCTGCCCTTTTGTTCTTGAGTGGTTGCTTATTCTAACAGTGTATATCAAACTGGTTTTATTTTTCCCCGTCTCTTTTGTTAGGTGCAATTGAATCAGCTCCAGCTCCTTGTGACCACACAGAACAGAGTGAAACCCTGCCCTGAGTTGCCTGATCCTCACAAGTGCTACCCTGTTTGATCCCATCAAGGGTCTTCCTCTTTTTCCTTGCCATTCTTCTTTATCAAGCATGATGTCCTTTTCCAGAGACCACTCGCTCCTGATCACATGTCGAATATTCTTCCCTGGCACCATAATTCAAATGCATTGATTCTGCTTTGGTAGTCTTTAATCGATGCCCAACCTTTCCATGCGTCTGAGACAATTGAAAATGCCATGGCTTGTGTCAGGCACATCTCAGTTCTCAAAGTGACAACCTTGCTCTTCAATACGCGGAAGAAGTCTTGTGCAAAAGATTTACTCAATGCAATGTGTCATTTAATTGATTGACTGCTATTTCCATGAGTACTGATTGTGGATCCAAGCAAGACGAAATCCTTGATAACTTTAATATTTTCTCCATTTATCATAATGTTACCTACTGATTCAGTTGTGAGGATTTTGGTGTTCTTTACATTGAGTTGTAATCCATATTAAAGACTGAAATCCTTGATTTTTTGCAGCGAGTGCTTCAAGTCTTCCTCACTTTCAGCAAGTAAGGTTGTATCATCTGCATATTGCAGGTTAAGAAGTCTTCCTCCCATCCTGATGCCAAGTTCTTCTTCATACGTGCAGCCTTTCTGATGATTTGCTCAGCATACAGATTGAATAAGTATTACAAGAGGATATAACCCTTCAAACACTTTGTTTTGAGCCATGCAGTATTCCCTTATTCTGTTTGCACAACTACCTCTCATACAGGTAGGTTCAGCATGAGCACAATCAAGTGTTCTGGAATTCCTATTCTCCTCAAGCCTATCCATAGTTTGCTATGGTCCACACAGCCAAATACCTTGGTATAGCCAATAAAAAGCAAGTAAACATCTTTCTGGTATTCTCTGCTTTCTGCCAAGAACCATCTGACACCAATAATGATATCCTTTGTTCCACATCTTCTGAAATCTAAAATGACTTTCTCTCAGCTCCTTATCAATTTACTGCTGTAATTGTTGTTGAATGATCTTCAACAAAATTTTATTTGCGTGTGGTATTATTTTGTCTAGTAATTTCCACATTTTGTTGGGTCACTTTTCTTTGAAATGGGTACAAATATGGATCTAGTTGGTTGGTTGGTGGCTGTCTTCCAAATTTCTTGGCATGGACTAGTTATTACTTCCTCATTCTTGTTGAAACGGGTCTTTCAGTTGGTATTCTATCAATTCTTGGAGCCTTGTTTTTTTTGCTAACACCTTCAGTGCAGCTTGGACTTCTTCCTTCAGTATCATCAGTTCTTGATTATATGCTACCTCTTGAAATCATTGGATGTCGACCAGTTCTTTTTGGTATAGTGGCTCTATGTATTCTTTCTATCTTCTGTTGATGCTTCCTGCATTACTCACTATTTTGCCTATAGCATCTGTCAATATTTCAACTAGAGACTTGAATTTTTCCCTTTTATGGACCCCTGTCTTACATACTTTGGACATGCCAGGAGACCCTACAGAAGGCCACCCTGCTTGGTAAATGGGAGATGCAGCACAAAAGAGGAAGGCCCTCCAGGAGAGGGCTGGCACAGTGGCTGCAACAATGGGCTCAAGCACAGGAACGGCTGTGAGGATGGCGCAGGGCTGAGCAGTGTTTCGTTCTGTTGTGCTGTGGGCTGGAACTGACTCGATGGCACCTAACAACAACATCGACCTGTCTACTTTTTAACTGAAAATTAAGTCAACACAGACCTATTTTTGGCTGAAAATTAAGGGAGGTATGACTAAGGGCTATAGTCTTGGGGGGTTCTACCAATCTTTAGTTGACCAGTAAGTCTGTTTTTATTGGTTTTAGTTTTGTTACACATTTTTCTCTCACTCCAGCATCTTCTAATGTGACCCCTTTGAAAATAGTTAGGAGTGGTAGCTAGGATCCTCTATTCCTCTGGTCTCAGGGTCACGGAGACTGATGTTCTTGTGATCTATTATCTTTTCATTCCATGAACGCCAGCAATGAAAGTAATCAGTATAATGCACACTTCTCAAATTTTGGAGTTTACCAAGTTCTTTCATAAACATACGATCTGATCCTCACTATAATCTAATGCAGCAGGCATTAACTTCTCTGAATTTTTGTCAGGATTTTTTTTCTCATATATCAAGTTGTGTCTCATGTCTCTCATATATCAAGTTGTCTTACTCTAGTGAATTAAAAAAAAATGCAAGAGGAAAATGGAAAACTTGGGCAAAGTCAATGTAAAGTTTACAAATTTAACAAACATTTGTAGTTATCATTCTTGGAAAAATTGCTTTGCCTGGTGAAGCTCTATAGTTGCCCTTTTCTCTGCCCAGCTTTTCCCATTAAGATACTCACCTGGACCCCAGCAGCAAAAGAAAGCCATTGGGTAGAAACGCACTCGCTGCTCCACAATGTGAATCACTGCCCACTGCTCACTTCCCAGAAAGCCAGTAGATTTCATGAACCTCTTATACAGCGTATGTGCTTGAATGAGTAAAACCTAGACAGACATGGGGGCAGCAAAGAGAGATTTTCCTTGGGTTTGATAAACTATCTGAGCTCTCTTTCCTCATCTCCCACAAAGATTTGCTGTCTCAGAAACCCTACGTAAGGGTCGTTACGAATCAGGCTGGACTCCCTGGCAGTAGGTTTGGTTTGGGTCATTTATTCTCAGATAAGCTCACAGCAGTAAAGAACCATTCTCCTGTCTTCACCCTCTTAAGATCAGGCTTTTTCTGAGGGAAAATTACTTGAGGAGAACTTTCAGTTGGCCAGGAAAATGGACAGATATTAGCCAACCTCTGTTCACCAGGTCCAATACTTGAACCTTCCATCAACCCTCGGGCTTCCCTCTCAAATCCATGACAAGACACTGTACAAAAACAAAACAAGCACAGACCCTCTACACAAAGGAAGTACAAACTTAGGTCTAACCAGACCCTCTTTCAAGACACTGTGTTAGTTTGTGTTAAAAAGTGTTTTATGCTTAACACCATTAAAAAAAAACAAACAACTTTAGCACCATGGCTGAATTGAAATTCTCAGCTCTGACCAAAACAAAACAAATAAGGTTCCCCCAATAAAATAATAAAAACAAACAAACAACAAAAAATAAGATTTAAAAAGTCTCTTCTTGCCCTTTGCCCTTAGGTGGCCAATGGATTGTTTCCCTTCCCTGCAGAGTCCACCTCAATAAAGTTTCACAAACGAAATCTATAAATCCATCCAGAAGTCCGTGTGCGTGCATGCGTATGTGTGCATGTGCGTGCATGCGTGTGTGATAGACTGTCACAAATCTGACCAAATCTGAAAGACTTCCCCTAATAATCTAGATTCACTCTCTAACTGAATAACTAGCTACATCTCTAATCAAGCTTAGCCGTAGAAATTCCCTTTCACCACAGAGACATAAGAATCAAAAGGAAGCTTGATCTCACTTCGGAATATTTATGTCTAGTATAATCAGCTCAGCCGCTGTGGATTTTTAAAGGAATTTACATAGCCACCACCATATGTTCACATTACTGATTTTTAAAATAATTTAGATGGGTTTTTATTTCTGGATGCCTGTTTAAATGTGGACTCTTCTGACGTAAACAGGAATATCTTGGTGCCAGGTTTGGGGATATCATTTCTTCTGTTAATCTACTCCAAACAGGAGCCATTAAATCCACTGTCATATAAATAAATTCGCTATTGTACGCTGATTTGTGCTGAGGTAGTGCCATGTCTTATTTTAGATGTGTCAAAGAAAATTCTCCACCCATATATTTGGTTTACAGGTATTTTAACCCATTTTCATAGTTCTTTGGCTGATTTACTATATTTGGTTCATGGTAAATCTGTTGGTGTTTCAAGTGGTAGTCAGGGTAGAAGGGAAGGTATTGCACACTTAGGTGACAATGTGAATTGAATTTAGTATAAAATAATAATAGTACGTGGATAATACTGTGAAGAACTAGAGTATATGAACTAAATAAAAACATTTAATGTAAAAAAAGTAATGTACTTTTAAAAGAAATGCTGTGCTAGCAAAATAAATTGGATTTGTGAGCTGAATTTGGTTTGTAGGCTGATAGTTTGGAATCCTTAAACTAGCACATGCGGAGAGAAGGAAATGAAAAAATGTAGATATAATAAAAATATTTATTTGCTTAATTTTTTATATTAGGCAGTGTCCCTGGTCATTTTCATTGTACATCATCCTGATGACACCAAATGAATGTTTGATAACTGCATGGACCACTTAGCTCCTAGATGGATGGACCATCAGGGCAAACTTGAGGTCAAATGAGGAATTGGAGAAAGCTCCTCTTTATCATTATTTGAAAATTAAATCAGAGCACATATCCTATATTCCAATGCCATCATTGTATATAACAGACATATACAAAGCTTCTTGGTCTGGCCTTTCATAGTGATCCACAGCCACATGTATTAATTACAGAGTGAACATAAATCTCATATAATAAGCACAGGCTATTTTCCTACCTTACTTTGAATTTGGGAGGTCCAAAAGACTAAGGTATTAATTAAGTTGTCAAGATTTCCTGGCCAATTTCTTGGTTCTAGGACCCAAGAACTAAGTATCCTTCCAAGTATCCCAAGCCCTGGGACTACCACCCCTCCCCTCCCCTTTACCAAGACAGGGAGGGTGATGTCATACCACGATGGTGAGAAAGCTGAGTAGAAAACTGGCCAGGAAAATGGTGATCCCATAAATATAAAGTATGCCACACACAGATGTGCTGGCAGAAGGCATGAGTTCAGCCATAGTTGATGGTGGTGAAAGCATCAGAATACACCTAGGAAGAGAGTGAATGGGTAGCAGTATGGCTACAGATGTAAGATTGATGTAAGGAGATACCCACTTAGTGAGCATGCATGTGGGCTCACCATTGTGCTTACCTTTGCCCATAAAATCTTGTAAGGTCATGTTATCCTCTAATCACTTTGCGTTATATTCCTACTTACCATAGATACTCAAGTATAAACCGACTCGAATATCAGCCAAGGCACCTAATTTTACCACAAAAACTGCATTAAAAATGTGTTGGAAAATTCAGCTTATACACGAGTATCTACAGTAGGTGTTTCAGCTTTGGCAATCTTACACCAGTGCATCGTAACAGTATAAACATCTTGGCCAGAATGCATGCAGAAAGTCTTTTTCCCACTCTTCAGACAAGAACAGACATAGTCTACAAGGGAAATATTAGATTTGGTTCTTTCTTACCTATGGCTCTGGCTAAAGTTGTGGAAACACTCACTAGTATTGCCCAGGCAAAATACAGGTATCATCAGTAACAGAGGTACCAGGCTGGGGAAGAAAAACAAACTAATCACCCTAATGTCCCAACCTTTTCATGCCTTTCCTCTCTGCAGAATATTTTCCTGTTTTCCTTCTAGCTCCACCACTCCAACAATCTCTGCAAATATACATACATTTAATTTCATCAAGATAAAGATTGCAATTTCCAATTCTTGGGGAAATGAAAAGAGAATGAATTTTATATCTAGATTTCTTTTTGCAGCTATAGTTTATTTTTATTTTTTAAATCATTTTATTGGGGGTTCTCACAGTTTACATCTAGGTCAATGAACCTTAAACAGAGTTTCATGGAGAGTGTCTGGGAGTTAGTTGTTCAGTCAGATCAAAATCTAAGTGGGTCAAAGTGGAAGAAAAATCTATCAAGAAGTTTAGGCCTTAGTCTGTTTCATTTTCCCTGGTAATCTCAATTCTCATCAGCCCCTTCCTGGGAGTTTTTCCAAAGCAAGCCAAACCCATTGCAACTGCGTTGACTCTGCCCCATAGCTACTCTATAGGAAACAGTGGAATGGCTTCCTAGGATTTCTGAGGCTATAAATCTTTATGGAAGCAATAGGTGAGTTTGAACTGCTGACCTTGCAGTTAGCAGCACAATGGGAAACCTATAGCATCAACAAGACTCCCCACTTTTAAAGAGCCAGTTTTCAATCTAGATAATATAGGCATCTCTCTGTAAGATGAAAAGATACAGGAGTAAAAGTTATAAATTCTAAAGGCAACTCTGATCTGATGTGACCACTAATCCCAGTATGATTCAGTCCCTGTCTGAGCATCATAACGGTAAGGGACTCAAACAGGGTTATAAATAAGGCCATCTATTATAGCTAACTCTCACTATTTGGAAAAGGAATCAGAGCTCTAAAGACAAAGGGATTTTACTAAAGGTCACATAGAGGTGAGAGCAGAATGGGGCTAAAGCACACATTTGTAACATCAAACCTCATCCCTGTTCCAGCTGGGGAAATGAAACCAATAACCACCTACTAAGGAAGACTCTACATCTCCTAAGACCTAGGAGTAATAGATGCAATGGAAATAACAGGCATTGCCTCCTCTTTGTTCCTAGTTGAACACCAGAATAATGAGAATCTACAACTTGCTAGGAAGGAAAAAAACAGACAACTTACCTTGACATAATGATGGCCATCTGACCAATTCGAGAAGTATCATCTATTGCCTATGAAAAGTACAAATGTGAATAATGCTTTAGGACATTGACAAGAACATACCAGGTCATCGCTCATCCTTCTAGAGAACACAAAGATTTCTAAGACTAGATTAGCTTCCTTCAACAAATATTTGCTATAAAACTCAATGAAATATAGTTCCTTAGGGTTGGAGTTAACAGAATTTTATCTGTATGTAAAATACTCTAAATAAAAGTACAACCAAAAAAAGGCCACAGGAGAGCCTGGAGGGAATTGTTTAAGATTTGGGTATCAGAAGAGATTATCTTAAGAAAAAAGGCAAATACAAAAATCACACATTAACTCTCCATCCAGGGATCAGTCTTCTTCTCTTTTAGATATGGAGAGGTGTGGTTTTTCTCAGACCTTATGGGTGGAATGAAAATCTGTATTTTATGATAACAAGCAGAAGATATAATACTCAAAAAACTCAAACTCATTCCCATCAAGTCAATACTAACTCATAGTGACCCTGGTAGGGTAGGGTAGATCTGCCCCTGTGAGTTTTTAACACTGAAATTCTTTGTGGTAGTAGAAAGTCTCATATTTCTCCCATAGAGAGGCTGGTGGTTTCAAACTGCTGACCTTGCAGTTAGTAGCCCAATACATAACCCACTATGTCACCAGGGTTTCAGAAAGAATAATAGGTCAAGATTAATATAGTAGGTCTCAGTCAAATATTTTTTTTAATATAAGATCTGTTAAGACTGTAGGAGAAATAACATTTCAAAAATCCCTATTATATTACGTAACCATTGTAAAACAACTTTGAGGAAAAAATTATTCCTATCCTGTAGGAGATTATGGGGAAAGATTTAACCAAAATACATAAAGGAGATAATAGAATCAAAGACAAGCGTCTTCTTTTTTTTTAACTTTATAAAGGTGCTAGTTATGTATCTGGGAATGACATTGTTAGTAATCAACAGACTATGAGAAATTAATAGCAAAGTCAAGTACAATATCCAGTGTGGACTTAGGGAAATTTAGTCTTTAGTGACCTTTCCACTCTTCTCTTTTTCTATTTTTATTTTATCCTCTATTATGTGGCTATCCTGTTTATTTTTTTTCTTACCCGATTGTTAATGGAGCCATAATAAGAAGCTTAGTTAATAGTAGTGGAATATTGTTAGATATAGTTCAAGAAAACAAGCCTCTCAGGTTGAAAAGAACTCAAACTATGACTGAGAAAGAGTTACTTTCTCAAAGTGGAGTCCACAATAATGACATTAACGAAGTACAGCTTTGGGGACCTTTATTTGCTTCGGGGCATGACTCAAAATGAGAAGAAACAGCTGCAAACATCCATTAATTATAGGATTGTGGAGTGTCTGAAGTATGGATTGAGGAAAATTTGGAGTCCTTAAAATGAAATGGAATACATAAAGATCCATATCCTATGGCAGAGTGGCAGGATACAAGAACAACAAAGAGAAGTCTATCAGACAGCTCTGCACATCAGACAAGACCACAGAAGTGGCAATTAAAAAGGTAGTACCCTTTGCAATAGCCAAACACAAATTGAAATATCTGGGGATATACCTGACTACAAAAACCAAAAGGTTTGTATAAGGAAAACTACAGAACACTATTACAAGAAATCAAGAGTGACCTCAACAAATGGAAGAATATCCCATGCTCCTGGACTGGAAGACTCAATATAGTAAAGATGTCAGTTCTGCCCAAGGCATTAAATAAGTTTAATGCTATCTCGATAAGGGATGATAGAATCCCGATACCATCATCCTCCTTCAAGAATTTGAAAAACTGATTACCAACTTCATATAGAGAGGGAAGAAGCCTCAAATTAGCAGAGAACTCCCCAAGAAGAAGGACAAAGTGGGAGAGCTTGCTCTACCTGACTTTAGCACATATTATACAGCCACAGTGGTCAAAACAGTGTAGTTCTGGTATAACGACAGATATTCAGACAAATGGAAAAGAGCTGAAAACCTAGAAATAAAATCATCAGCATACAGACAACTGATCTTTGATAAGGGCCCCAAGAATATCTAATGGGAAGCAGATGCCCTCTTCACTAAGTGGTGCTGGAAAAAATGGATATCTACCTGCAGAAAAATGAAGCAAGACTCTTACCTCACTCCATGCACAAGAATAATTGCAGTTGGATCACAGACCTTGAGGTAAAACCCCAAATTATTAGGGAGGGACACAAATACATTTGAGTCACAAATTGACAAGTGGAATATACTGAAGATAAAACACCTGTGTACATCGAAAGAATTCAAGAGAGTAATAAGAGAGCCCACGGACTGGAAAAACATCTTTAGTAATGACACATTGGACAAAGGCCTTATTACTAAAATCTACAATACTCTGCTAGCTTCCAAAAAGAAAAAAACTAAAAAGAAGAAAAAATAATTGCCCACTGAGGAGGTGGGTAAAGGACCTGAACAGAAGTTTCACAAGGGCAGAAATCTGAATGGCCAATAAACATATGAGAAAACGTTCCCGATCATTAGCCATAAGAGAAATGCAAATTAAAACAACAATGATATACCGCTTAACACCCTCGAAGATAGCCCAATTAAAAAAACACAGAAGGAAAAAAAATCAGAAAGTAACAAGTGTTGGAGGGGCTGTCCAGAGACAAGGCTCTCATCCACTGCTGGTGGAATTGTAGGTATGCGCAGCCACTATGGAAGTTGATTTGGCAATATCTAAAACAGATGGAAATTGAGCTACCATACGACCCAGCAATCCCCCTACTGGGCATATACTCAGAAGAGGCAAGAAACATATCACGGCCAGACATCTGTGCTCCAATGTTCATCAAGGCAAAGTTCACAATTGCAAGGAGTTGGACACAACCCAAATTTTCATCAATGGATGAATAGATTAAAAAAAACTGTGGTACATACATACAATGGAGTACTACGCATCCCTACAAAGCAGCAATGAACACATAAAACACATTGCCAAATGGGAAGACCTGCTAAGGAAATCATGCTAAGCGAAGTAAGCCAACACTGAGGTAAGCTTAAAAAATGGGGCACAGGGGTCTCGGGGAGGAGATGAGCCAGTCAGGGTGCGATGTAACAATGATGAGAAATACAACTTTCCTCTAGTTCCTAAATGTTTCCTCCC